ATTCCAGTAAGTGCACCAAAAACACAGACTCACAGTATTGCAACACCACATGTTGTACTCACACGTGCAGTAGTTTTGATTATAAAATCCTTGACTGCTTTCTGTGACCCCCCCTCATTGCCTGGCTCTGGTGTGGATCTTTTTGCTGATGACCTTCTGAGTTATTACCCTGGCAAGAGGGAAGCGCTGACAATGACCTACCAGTCACTGGTCCAGACTTTCTAACATGCACAAAGAGGGAAAGGATTGGTAAGAATGTCTGAGATGCTCCTGTGTAGGCCTCTGACAGGGACACCCCTAGTACACGTACACAGCACAGCAGTTCAAGGTTAGTATAACTTACTGGTTCCAGTAATTGTTTTTCCTAATTGTCACAGCTCCTAACTGAAATGTACTTACTATTCAAAATGCTTTCGAAACTACCAAGCAAGTGTACCTGTTTACTTACATCCTCAGCTTGCACACCTTGCACAGGACTGAAAGAAAACATGTAGGCATCTGTTATCTCTAGTACAGAATACTGCTCCTCAGCATCCAAACCTAGTTAGTTGGCAAGCACTTCCGCAACATCATGCTCAAATTTATTTTAAGACACTAAGCCTCATGTTTTGTTAGCTTTCTGTTTATCTTACTACTAAAATCGCTGATTTTTTTTTTGTTAATTTCTTTGTTTGAGAAACTGGAAGCAGGCAGCTCCACCCAAATTCTTCATTGCACCAGTGCCCTTACAATGTTTGTCTGTGTGTCAGCTTGGTGCCTCAATTCTAGTGTCTTAAATAGTTTTGCCAGGAAGTTTCCAGTGATGTTCCTTTCCTCTCCCCTCCTCCCTTCCCAGTAAATTGTGAACTATTTATCTTCTTAATGTCATTTTCAAAAGAGAGAGTACTTAACAGCTATGTATTTTCATATTCCCAATTTTAAGTCCCTGAAAGTACTGACCACGGTAAGCGCACTCACCAATCCCACAGCAGATCATGTGCGTGCAATTACCTCATTTACACAATCACAATAACCACACAAAATTCAATGCCCCATCTGGAAGATAGGAAATAATATTTCCTTTCTTCTACCTTTGTCCATGTACACAGTGGACTCTTGAGGATAAGGAGAGTCTCATTCCATGGGCGGATATATATACACACATACACAATACATATGTTCTCACAATACTGAAGACGATCGGGGCCTGATCTCTGTTGGGGCTGCTAGCAACTCTGCTACATTATTCTGTTTCAAATTTTGGCATGAAATCTCTTGCCGACTTTTCCTATCCTTGCTGTTTCCAGCCCAGGCTGACAGTTTTGGCTGGCTGCCTTCCATGCTTGGGCAAACCTGGGAAAGCACAGCTGAGCAGCATCACAGAGCCTCCCCTCTCCCCCACTTGCCCTGTAGGCGTTTGGCAGGGCTTGGGGCAGGTGGTGGAAAAATAAGCCCTAACAGCCATTTTCACACAGAGAGGGGCAGATCAGGAAGAACTCAGGACTCTGCTGCACCCTGTGATGAAGAATGAAAACTGCTTTCCTCTTCCTTCTGTCCCACCAAGTGGAAGGAGTCTCCTGAGAAGCATGAATGCAAAAATCCCCAGATAGAGTCTACAGGTAAAGCAGTACCATAACTGCAAGAGGGACTGGGACATCAAACAGGTCATGCAGCAGTAAAAAAAAAAAAAAGGAGATGCAAATTCTTAGTAGAAAAGACAAGTAACAGTGAACTTCTGGGTTTGGGGTTTTAAGATCTCTGTTGGAATTGTGGGGATGACTCTCGCATTCATTCGCATAGGGGACTACTGCATTACAAGCTACAAGGGACTCTGGAGGTGATCAGCTCTAAGCCTTCAAGAGTACTGCTACCTTCTTCCCGTTGGAAAAGACTCACTCCTAGGGCCACACAAACATGTCATTTTTTTAAATGATGCAAGCTGTCAGGAATTTAAAAATATACATATTTAAGTATCACGTTCCATCTCTTTTCCTTCGTCAAAATACCGTTCCACCCTAATCTGCTCTCAAATAATGAATAAGCGAAGTATAGACATTTCCAGAAAGAGCATTTAACATACAGTTGTTGGCCAGGCAGCACTGCCTTCTTTCTACAAATTTATTATTTGTATTTCTTATTTGCACTTATTTCTACAAATACAACCCCCTCTACTGCAGAGGGCTTGTGACATCCCAAAGGCATGTGAGGGGCCATTTGTTAAAACGCCGGCAAAGAGTAGTGGCATTGCCTATGCCAACTCCCACTTTTTACTGAGGCAGGGGAGCTGGAGCCTGGGTCTGTTGTGAGCTCTCAGATGAGATCTGACAGGTTCTGCTCATTTCACTGGAGTCCCTACCAAGAATTCCTGGAGAGTACAAAGCAGCCCCTTAAAAATTATTCCATCATTACTCCAGTCTGCCCTGAACTCTAGAAGTTGCTCAACTGAAGTTACTAGTCATGTTCACTATTATTGTCTTTTAGTAACAGAGAAAACATGCAGGCTGCAGCCATGCTCAGGCAGAGCTTCTGCATGCCTCCTGCTGCACCATGGGCCGGTTCTGGCACTGGCAGCAGGGAGAGAGAATATGGCTGAAAAGAGACAAGAGATAGGAGAAACCTAGGAAAGAGAGGAGGCTGATGACACAGATGGTGAGGAATAAAAGAGCTGGATTTGTTGTTTTTCAAGCTTGCCCCACTGTCAAGTTTTCCCAAGCATATGTCACTGGCCCCTTCCAGTATTGCTTACTGTGAAAAAAGACATATGGAAAATTACTCATCTTTGAGAACCAGGCTGCCCTCACCAGGCATGTGGTGATTTTTCGAAAACACAATCTCAAGCAAAAATATCTGCAAGGTTTCCTGTCTGCAAAGTGAATTCTTAAGATTGACATTTTGTGCTACTCCAATGGATCCAGAAAGTCGTCTTTTTTTTGTCTTTTACTACTACAGAAGTAGTTCTCGATGAGTTTAAATTTCAAATAGCTCATTCTGCAGAAGCCAGAGTACTACATGGAAAGTTATAATGCCAGGGAACAGCAGAGCTGTTTTCTGTGTGACAGAAACTCCTAGTGGTTACAAGCACTGCAGATGTGCATCTCCCTCACATTAATTTGTTCTAACTCAGGCCTACAAATGTGAAACGTTGTGATTTATCAATTGTTCATGACCACAGCATTTTGCTGTTGTCGCTGGGGTTAGGACCTCCATCAGGTCACACAAAGAGCTGTCTTTCATGGGAGGATGTAGCACACCAGCCATGCAGCCCCAGAGCTGTTTGGGGCAGCGAGCAGCTCCGGCTGGCAGTTCCCAACAGCCACCATGCCATCTGCGGGAGCTGTCACAGACCTGCCCTGCACACAAACCCAAAAACCTGAGACCAGTGGGGTTTGTTTCTCCCCTCTCCCCTCATCCCAACATCCAAGGCCACCTAACAGCAAGGGCAGTATAAAAACTGAGAGCACTAAGAATTAATCATTTACACATTTTTAACACTGTACTGTGGTTAATCTGCGCTTCCTTTTCAATGCTGTTACATGAAGAAAAGAGCCAGAAAGTATCTCAGAGAGGTAGTGATATTTTCTTTACCTTTCAGGTCTTTTAAATTAGGTCAGTTTACAAAGAAGAACTCGGCTGTTTAGCACTTTTTATATGACAATCTCAAAGCAATCGATATTCAATTAATTCACAACCTTGCTTTGATTTTGGATTTGTTATTTCTATTTTCACTGTAGACACCAAGGGAGAGAAAAGTTCAATCATCTGCCAAATACCACACAATTCAGCAGCAGCAGAAGCAAAACCAAGGACTCAGCATGCTGGATGTACCCTTGGCAGCTTCCTTGAGCTGAACAAGCAAAACCTGAGTTGAGGCAATGCACGCAGTCCCGGGAGGATTGCAGCTCACGTCTGAGGCCTTCAGAGAGCGCACACAGAGGACCAATTTGCCCACTTTCACACAAGGTTTTGCAAACATCATCACACCTTACCTTTGCTACCCTTGTGTGTGGGAATATATAACATGACTAAAAGGGGCCAGCTGGAAAAGAGACAATTAATACCCTCTTTCACACACTAGTTGTTTCTAGCTCTCCAGTAGATGAGTTAAGCAGAACATAACATCCTTAAGAATGGCCCTACAAGCTCTGGCCCTACGAAGCCAAGTTAGAAAGAGGCTTCTAAAAGGACAGAGGAGTTGTATTTCTGAGCATGGGTTAAACAAACCCAAACTGTACTACTACCACCACCTCTTCTCTGTGAACATGTTGAGGTGAGGGTTTTAATCAAGAACCTATTAAGGGCAGGAGAGGAAAACATACATTTCAGCAGCTTGAACTCACCTCTTGAGTTTCTCCTGATGTTTAAAATAGACAGGGGGAGCTTCCCTGTTGCACCCTCTGTTGCATATGAGCTCCAGATGTGTGCATGCTATTTCCAGAGTCAGAGGATACAGATGTCGTTAAATATGCTGGTGATCTGCTCCAGTCTATTGAAATTTTTTTTATCTGAAATCAACACTCAAAAAAAGCATTTGAAGACTCAGCAAGAAGAGGGGAAACAACTGCAATGAAAGTTGTAGTTCCCGTATTACCAAAACAAGGTGCAGGGCACAGATCAAACCCAGTATTGTGAGCCCTACGTCCTGACAATTAATTCGGGAGATCTTGCAGGACCTCTGCAAAAAGTAAAAAATATTCCAACATGGTGTTTTCTTCTCAAATGGTAGTAGGGTTATGAAGTAGTTTTTTATGACCCATTCAGGCTTCTTTTTACAACAGCCTATTTATACACTCCAATTCAGTCACAGCTTCCACTGCACTGATTACTAGAGTGCTCATTTCCTCATTCTGACTTGCACACACATTTCTTTTCTCAATTTTTATTCTCTCCCTGTTAGATCTATTAGCCTTGCGTTACCGCCACCCTGTTGCTTAGCCTCTCCTAAGTTTCTTTTCTAGGGGCACTTGTCTCATTGACAACTAAGTAATCAACAGTTCAGTTACTGTACTTTAATAAAATAAACATTTTAAGAAAAGCTTTCAATTTTTTTTCATTTTTAAACGCATGAAGAATAGATTCAACACAGTATTTGGGCAGTGGTTCAGTATCACTCAAGTTAAACATCCTCTTTCACTCCAAACAGACCATGAAAATAAGACTTCTTAACACTCACTATTCTTTCTACAGTGCCATTTACTTACTATGTCAGTGAGTGCCCAAAGGGCACTGATCTTTTTGCTTACAGCATATATTATTAAAGTCACTGACCTGTAAATCATTTGAAGACTGAAATCCAATTTAATGTTTTCCCAGTTACACTAGACAGAAGTTGTGCAGCAAACTTTTTACCAGGGCTTCTAAATTCACAACACACTTAGTCCAAAACTCCTGAAGTTAATATTTTTGCACTTGGATCGTTAATGTTTGCTAAAACCCGAAACATTCTTCAGCTGACTAAAAGCTTCACATCCTTAGAACGTAAAATCTAAATATAAATGTGGTGGGCGTATGTGGATCTTTTCTCTCTGAGGAGGCTCTGTTACGAATTTCCAATGTTTTACGCCATCACCAAGCCTCTGCTAAGCCGTGACACCTGTTCAGAATTTTCAGCTTCTTAACCCCTTATTACACTTCCTACCATCCCCAGCAGAAGTGCAGAAGGTGGAAAAGAGTTCCATTGTCCTAGACTTGCTGTATTAATTCTCAATGGCTCCTTGGTGTCTTTTATATTAATACTCACTTTAAGGACAACTAACTAAATGGATGAACTTGCTTCTCTCATAACAGATGCCAAGTAGACACTCTGGTTATCAAGCAGATCCTGGAAAGAAAACCTACAAATTCCATAGGAGGAACACTAAAAACTGCTGACAGTAAATATTGATAATAATAAATGGTCTATACCAAAACAAACACGCACTACTGCTTTTAAGTAACATTATGCTAAATGCATTCTTATCATTCATATTAATAATGGTTCACTATTCTTAGGTTTGATATATTTAGCAAACATTGGCAGTGCACAATGCTAGTGATGAAAAATTCTTTTAGTATCAGTATGTAGCCACTCTTTCTACCATTTCTGCAAAAATTAAACCATGAGCATATCTCCTAGTTAAAAGTCAAAATACTCTGTTGAGACAAAACGCCTCCATAAGAAAACCTGTTTCCAAAGCTCTTTTTCATTACAAACCATATGTATAAATCAGATTAATCACAATATGAATTTTGACTTATTTATTCACACAAATTAATCCAAATTTGTTTTAGACCCAAAATATCTGATATTATAAGGATACTAGTAAATTTTTCCAGGTACTAGAGAATCTTGTATAAATGTATCTGTTCAAGTGCTTCTCTGTCAACATCCTTTTCCATATACACATCGTAGTTTAGCTGCATCTCTTCGACCCATTGGCTGAGCTGTACATCTGTCTGAAACAATGAAAACAGATCCTTGAATTAACACCATGTTGAGAAACAGCAGGACTTTCAAGGTCAGTACAACATTAAGAAGGCAAGACATAATATGAGAGATTAGTCATTCCAAATTATGCAGCAATGATAAATTCATTTCTGGAAATGACATTTTAACTTATATAGGAGAGAGCAAAGACAATTTTAAAAAACTATCTCAGTCAATAGTCTATGTATTTTGTTATCATATTACAACTGCCTCTCTATATGCATTTGTATAAGCCTCAAACATCCTGACCAGAGGACAACATTTTGACAGAAGTGCTGAGGGAGCAGCTAACAGTACCATAGAAGAATCACAAGCATTTTCTTGTTTTACACCCAGGAAGTATTGCATTAAGGCTACAAAGGACTTCTCAGCTGCTGCGTGACTATGGCTTGCTCTACGAAAAGGTCAAATCACACCACTGCTGCTCCTGGGGCTGAGGATCTATTTCACACATCAGCATACAGGCAACAAGTGATTCAATTTCTTTAAAACTTACTACTGTGGTGAGCAAGTCACTTTATAAATAACCTTGTCATGGATGGTCAGTGTTTTCTTTCCTAACTGAAGCCAGACCTCATAATTTGTCTAGGTATCACACACATAACCTACCAATAACCAATGGCAGAGTGGACAGAGAGCAGAGGCTGGTCCATCAGAAGCAGTTACTACTCAGAGAACAGCAGTAGCACAGGACATTCAACATCTCTGGAAGATGCACTGTCCTTGTCTGTTTCTAACTGCAATTTAAAGCTGATGTTACTGATTCAAGACCCCTGATGGTAATCACTTGGCTAGTTGGGAGACCACATCTCTGTCTAATCTGTACTTCCAACAGCTCATACTGCCATATTATGAGTAATTCTCTATGCTGACAGCAGGTCAGAAAACAGAGTATCCTCAGGGATCGTCCTTCTTTAATATGTCCCTTTCTCCCACTGGCTTAACAAAACAGTTTGTCGTGTTTCAAGGCAATGTGCAAATGTAGAACTAGAGACAAGGTTCTGCCTCTAGAAGTCTCTAAGTACATCTGTATTTCTGAAGATCTACCTCTATACCTGGAAGAAGTCTGATGGCAGTGTGCCCAGGTGGCCAGGAAAGCCTATGGCATCCTAGCCTGTATCAGAAATAGCATGGCCAGCAGGACCAGGGAAGTGATTGTCCCTCTGTACTGAGCACTGGTGAGGCTGCACCTTGAGTGCTGTGACCAGTTCTGGGCCACTCACTACAAGAAAATAATTGAGGTGCTGGATTGTGTCCAGAGAAGGACAATGGAGCTGGTGAAGGGTCTGAAGCACAAGTCCTGTGAGGTTTTTAGCCTGGAGAAAAGGAGGCTCGGGACTGACCTTATTGCTACCTGAAAAGAGGGAACTTACCTGGAGCTTTGAAAGCGATTCTTGAAGACTTGGAACTGTCACTAGTAAGGATCCTCTTTTCCTTACATTACAAGCAATAAATTCCCAAGCTCTGAAACATATTTAAAATTAGGTCACCAATTTTTAGGGGAAAACCCCCCACATTTGATATACAATGAATCTGACACAGTTTATTGGGTAGAGGTAGACTAAGCTTAAAGACTTGCCATACATGCTTATCAGTCATTATTAATATCTAAGTAAATATCTTTGCATGAACAAAATCAAGCTTTTTAAAAACACAGGGAATATATGGTCTTAGAGTGCCAGATTTTGTAGCTTTTTAACTCTGATACATACGTGTATGCCATTTGGTATTGTCAACACCTTTGCTTTGAACTAGGATTAAACATTGACATTTGGCCCCTTTAAACTTTTGGGTTTGAAGAAAATCCAGTCTCTAAGCACAGTATTCTACTAAGCTTCACAACAAGCTGCTCTTTACATAAATACCTTGCAGTCGCGACAAAGTACTTCTCTTAAGACATTAGTAATCAGAATATTTAAATATAGCCCCCAGCATTCCTTTTTTCTGATTTTGCAAGTCAGATCATTTCTAACAGCACAGCAATTCAGACTAAAAAGAATTTAATTTCAAGCACTCTTCAAATGTAATTTGTCTTCACGCTACTAATGCAACACTAAACCACTATCTCCAAGTTACAACAGAATCAAATGAATTCTCAATCATGTGCCTGAAAATGGATCTCCTTACATTTTAAAACACCCACTGCCCTTCACCCATCCACTCTGTGCCTCTCTAGTTGACATTATCACCTGGTATCCAGGGCAGTAGGAAAAGCCTTAGCTGAAACTGGTAAAGAATGTCAGACTTAGCTAGGACAATGGAGACACAGGTACTCCTTTTTGACTGCCCATTTTAAAGGAAGAGTAACTTTGGATGATTAAGTCATTTACATGTTAAACTGATGCTGCTGGATTAGCAAAAGCTTATCTGTGAGCATCTTGTACCTGAAAGAAAAGCTTAGCCCCATGTTGGTTTGCTACCACATGCTTATGAAGATATATTAGAAATATTAATAAACATGCATTGCTGTGCCTCTATATTAAAGCTCTAACATCTACTAGTCAAGTGACCTGTCTTCTTCTGAAGATTAAGCTTTATGCTGATACACTAATTTCAGATCCTTTAGCAGCAAGATACTAGTTTAACAGATCAGTGCAAAAATTCAGGGCAAGGTCTGGGTAAACAAAGCAGCAGTGTTTAATGGATTTAAACAATAAACAACTGCCATTACACCTTAGCAGTGTAACTACCAAGTGTAGGCAGTTGAAAACAATTACCTGACGTAATTTATGTGTGTGACTTCAAAAAGCACAACCTTAAGGTTTTCCATAACTCATAAGGTTACGCACACATTGCCAAAGAAATAGATAACTTGTCTGGACACAGAGCTTACCTGGCCTGTTCCTGTCTGTCAAGAAAATATTCAAAGACATTATTCATTACAACAACATCAGCCTTCTGAAGAAGCGAAGCCTGAGTACAGATGTCTGCATGAACCACCTGAAGGAGAAGATTTTCACAAGGCAAAAATTAAGAGACAAATACAGCCTTCATGTACTCATGAAGCCTGTTAGGGTAATACAGCACCTGCTACCACCATTTTGAACCAGTCATAAAAACGGGCATTTCACTGGCTTCACAGTAGATAAAACTGAAGTAAATAACCAGAATAACCTTTTTAAAAAAATTATCCAATTAAAACACTTAATCCATTATGTAAAGTGAAATAAAGTACATCTGAATTTTGGTCTGGAACTCTGTGTGCCACGTGATGGCTGTTACATTTCCCTTACCTATATTTTATGACAAATGTTCACCAATTTCAGGAAAGTAGCTAGCTAGTTGAAGCTATTTTTAGGATATTAAAAGGCATCTCAGAGGGTCAGTGGGTTACTGAAAGATTATAGGTAGAAAAGACACTATAGACCCAGACCTGACAGCTGAATTCTCACAACACATGTTGAGACTGGGAATGCTGGAAAGTCAGGATGCTCAGTGTCACTGGAGGACAGCAAACACTTTACCTTACTAAACAACTACCTCTCCAGTCAGCATAGGAGGAGCTGTTTTGATTTCATCTACCTTCACCTAACAAAAAGGATATTAGCACATCATGTAATTTTTCAAAACAAGTGAGACAGGAGAATATGGATGCTCATTAACATTCTGACAAGAAGCATTTGACTTCCCCTTAAAGACAAAGAAATATATCAATCTGATTCAATGACCCTGATCCTTGTGGGTCACTTTCAACTCAGGATATTCTATTATTCTGCATCCCAAATCCAAGGAGAAATATAAATAAGAACAACTTTTGAAGGGATAAGTAGTAATCAGCATGGATTCACTATAGGTAAACCATGCTTGACCAAACTGATTGTGTTCTATGATGAAACAACTACCTGGAGGGGAGAGCAGTGGCTATTGTCTGCCTCAAATCCAGCAAAGTTTTTGTCACAACGTCCTCAGAGGCAAACTCAGGCTGTGTGGACTGGATGAGTGGACAGTGAGGAGGATTCGGAATTGTCTGAACAGCAGAACCCACAGGGTTATAATCAGTGGCACAGGGTCTAGCTGGAGGCCTGTCACTACTGGTGTCCACCAAGGTTCAGTACTGGCCCCAGTACTGTTTATCTCATTCATATGAGAGGCAGATGCCTCCTCAGCAAGTTCACTGAGGACACAAAACTGGAGGAGTGATCAATACCCCAGAGGGCTGTGCAGCCCTTCAGAAGGACCTCGACAGGTTGGAGAGATGGGCAAAGAGGAGTGGATTAGAATTCAGCGAAGGCAAATGCAGGATCCTGCACCTGGGGAAGAATAACCCCGGTCACCAGCACAGGCTAGGGGCTGAACCGCTGGGAAGCAGCTCTGCAGAGAAGGACCTGGGGGTCCTGGTGGACAGCAAGGTGTCCATAAGCCAGCAATGAGTCATATGGACAAGAAGATCAATGATATCCTGGGGTGCAGCAGGAAGAGCACTGCCAGCAGGTTGAGGGAGGTGATCCTGCCCCTCTACTCAGCCCTGGTGAGGCCACATCTGGAGCGGTGTGTTCTGTTCCAGGCTCGACAGAACAAGAGTTCCTAAAGCAGGTCCAGTGCAGGGCTACAGAGATGATTAAGGGACTGGAATGTCTCTCTTACAAGGAAAGCCTGAGGGAGTTGTGCCTGTTCAGCATCAAGGAGAGACAACTGAGAGGGGACCCCATCAGTGACTGTAAGTACCTGCAGGGAGGGTGTGAAGAGGATGGAGCCAGGCTCCTCCCGGTGGTGCCAAGCAATAGGACAAGAGGCAACCTGCTAGAAACTGATGTACACGAGTTCCACCTGAACATGAGGAATAACTTCTTTACTGTGTGGGTGACTGAGCACAGGAACAGATTGTCCAGAGAGGTTGTGGAGTCTCCCTCACTTGAGATATTCAAGAACCATCTGGATGAAATCCTGTGCCATGTGCTCTGGGATGACCTCACCTGAGCAAGCAGTTGGACCAGACTATGCACTGTGGTCCCTTCCAACCTGAATCATTCTGCGATTCTGCGATAAGAGGCAGAAAGTCAATCTGAATATCGCATTCCACAAATTTGTTTTGAAAGTGCATCCCTATATGTTGAAAATTGACAGAAAATCTGAATAACCGTTTTCTTTCCTGTGTGACCTATTACTAGGTTGGGCTGGGAATACACTAATCTGATGGATTCAACTTTCACATTTTGTCAAATCCTACTGATATTGGACAGAAAAGCTGAATGTTAGTATAGATTTTTATCAAAACACCTGTTGAAAAATGTTTTGCCCACTTAACAATATCAATACTTGTTCTGAGGGTAAATTATGGATTTCTCCTCCTAACAAACTCTCTTTACTATCTTATCCTTAAAGGGAAAAAAATAGAAACCCACTGCATTTCTGTACAAAAACCCCCACCTGAGCAGCAGTCCTTTAATCTATACAGTGAGTGGTGAATGTTCTACCAGTGGACTTCTTGCAGCACAAGAAGTCATGATTAGCACTAAATTTTCTTAATGCTCTACTAATGGCATTTCTAATAATTTAAGCCATAATTCAGAGAGCTGTTTAAACTACTGGGAAACTTTTAATGTTATGTTGATGTTTCCTTGACTTGAATGATACTTAACTTAAAATTACTCTGCATTTCCAGAGTAGGTGACCAAGTTGACCAAAGTCACCTAAGCACCTCATTCTCCACAAACACATCCTCATTCCTGTTGGGGAATGTGGGACCACATAAGCATGTGTGGCTGCACCATGAGCCAGGCCACGTACTGCTCTAGTCAAAACCCCAGTATTGCTGGGTTCTTTTTCAGCTGGACCAGTTCCCTGATCTGCTCGGCTGTGTGCTGGCACAACAGAGGAACCAGCAACTGATTTTAAAACTGCCCTTGATGTGTATTCCTCCATGGAATACACATCAAGTCTTTCATGATTACAGGCAATTTCTGAATTGAGGTCTCAAGTTTCCTAAGATCTGCTGAACTGTTTACTTTCCTCAAAGTATTTAAATGTTTGCTCAAACGGCAAGAGATGCTGAGCAACCTTCTATGTACTTTAACAAACCAAGTGTTGACCAATGAAATACAAGGTTCACTCAGAGATTTAGCCACTAAAGATATCATTTCACTTTGCTTTGTCCTTTGAGAACATAGTCTTATAAAAATATCTTGAAAACAACAATTGCTATTTAAGAAGGGTCTCCTAAAAGTTTTTCGAATTTGTGTCATGAATTATTATCAGCAATGGGATTCTCAGTGTTCTTCAAGGTGGTATGTATCTCTGGAGAGGATTCATTTGGGGGTGAAATAAAAATCTAAGATTGAAATGTTCAAAGCAGTGTGATAACAGGAGTCACATGACCAAATTAATCTAATGAGACTCAAATAGCTTAGTCCTCAGGCACTGCTTTGAAAACGTATTATCTTCTTATCTTTATGCTCCAAAATGAATACTTCAGCAGAATTACAAGGTATGAAGGAAAACCAAGAAAAGTTTATAATGAATATACAAGGCTGAAAAGTATGCTTATAGGTCTCTAGTGTCACTGAATTAACTTGACAGAGTTCCTAACTGTACTTTCAGTTTCATCACAATAAGGTGTTATGAACATAAAACATACGCAAAAGCCAAAGGTTCTAGATCAACTGTCAGCAACTGGGATTGAACTGAGCAACCTAATGATACTGCTTACCCTGTGTTAAATATTTTACATTTATTATTTATTTATGGTTTAAAATTCTTTAATTCCCAAGAAATTACTATACTCAGCAATTTTTATGAATTCTTTCAAGAGCACATGCATAGAAAACTGGATTAAAGCCAGTATTATACCCAGCATATTCTACTTACCAACTTTTGCTGGTAACAAAATAACTGGTATTCTCCAGAAAGGAATTTTTTTCCTCATTAAAATATTAGTTGTTATTCCCATAATGGGACTAGGGAAATGGTTCCCCGTAATAGTATCCCACTGTTTGAAACCCATTTTGTTTGTGGAAGGTACATATACACTGACATTCTATGAAAGGCAACACCAATAGCTCTACGTCCTTTAGGTGTCCTGAGGTGCAAATGTGCAAATCCTACAAACATTTTTCTGCTAACAACAGCAAATCACAGATGTTTAATCGTGTATTAGTAACAGAAATTCTTTATACACTTGGTTTGTGTAGAAGTGAGTGGCAATAATGTCATTGATTTCACTGGGAGAAACAGATATATCTGTTTTGTGCGAGTCGATGGGTAAGTCCATTCAGGAAAAAGGCTAAGTGATTCATATTTTGATCATTTCCCTCTTCTTCTCTGCTATGAGATTCTTTTTCCCTAATGCAAAGCCTTTGTTTCAGACCAGAACAAGCAAAGGCAGAAACTTCTAAGAATGCTGATTTACCAGCCACTCACATAAACAGAATACCTAGTACATGGTGGTTAAAAGTACATAAACTAAAATATTATATTTACTTACCTTTATTCTGTCGATGAACTCATATTTTGTAATCATAATTTCTTGCAACTGGCAAAAGTCTGCATTCATTTCTACTCCATACAGCTGGGATGCTGAGCTATAAAGATAACCCTACATCAGGAAAAGGAAATTTAGTAACTGCGATGCCTTTAAAACAAGTTCAAAATTTTCAATTAAAAATAAAAGAATAAAACATAAGTTAAGATTAAAAAAACAGGAAGTTGAGAAATGTCTTTCAGTGGACGTGATGTATTTTTCAGAGCTAAGCCCCTGATTTGGCAATTCCCACTTACATCTCTTAAATTTTAGTAAGAGATCCAGAATGACACATCAAAATAATAAAAAGAAGAGGAAAGTTCCAACTTCAATTGCAAAACAGTTGGAAAATAATCTAAGGAGGAAAAAAGTTGTACAAAACAAGTTATAAAAATAGTGCAAAAGGAAAAGAATGCACAATTTTGTTTCTTGGGAGAAAGGAAGAAGAAAATAGCACAAAAAAAGGAAAAAAACCCATGAGACATGACATATAGTCGAAGTGTCTGAAAATAGTGGACAATGTACATGGGGTATTTTGAAACCAAGTCTTTGTCAGCACCTCTAAGTCACTGTATTACTAACATTTTCAGATGCTTCATAGAGGTGTGTATGGGGGAAAAAAAGCTAAATTATGCCTTAATAACAAGCCCCCAGAAATAGCTTCGTTTTTGGATTGAGATTTTGGAAAGTTATTGGAGATGTTAGGGAAAGAAAAGTACAAATACTTGAGCATACAGGGCCCTAACGAAGACTCTGCTTTAAGTGCCACTGTCTCCACTGAACATAATAATTACACTTTGCCAACAATGGCAAAGACAAGCAAACAATGCTGAAGATACAGAGAATCTGAGATACCCATATACTACAACTTAATTATTAATGTTTTCTGAAACCACTTAAGTCAGAGAGTAGAAAAGCAATATGTGAAGGTGAAGTCATCCCTCCTCCATGGAAAGAATAAAGGAGAACTCTTTTTTAAAAGAGTGCTTAATTTGAGAATATCTTCTACTATAACAATACAAGCATTTAAGTATTTCAAAACAAATTCAGCCTAGCAAAAGTGCTACCATTTAAGGACCCAATGCTGCAAATATTTACAAATGGGAGTAACTTTCCTCATTTGAGTAGTGCCAAAATTAGATTATTCAGATGAGTAGAACTACATGCTCAAGTGTTTCCAAGATTGAGCCCTAAACAGCCATTGACTTTTGTAAGAAAGTAATAATGTGTGTTTTGCATTGCTGTTGGCCATATGTTGCACCAGCCATGCCAAAAGCAATCAAAATTGCACTCAAGTTTCTCGATGAAGTATTTTATGTGCATTTTTAAAACACAGAGCAGGACAATATGTTTTTGCAGACAAGTTCATATCAAAGTCTTCCTTTGTATAATTTAACAGTTTGTCAGCTTCATAAAGGAATTTAACATAACTAATCTATATATAGGCATGGTCAAGATATTAGAGGACAAACTTACTTATGAAAGAGACACCAGGAACTAGCAAAAGAGCAGCATGTGTGACAGCAATATGCTATTCTGTTGGACAACAGACTTTTCCTCTCCATAAGCAAGATCATTTGTATTCCCTCTTGTGAGGAACACAGGAAGAACTGAAATTGCTAGTAAACAGCACTTTATACTATTCAGAGAGTCAGATCAGAGGTGCCTCTCAGAATGACCCATCCAAGATGGAGTAAAAGAGTAGGCATCAGAGAAGAGGGAAAATATTTGTCACAGTAATAAAATATGAATTCCTATGCTGGAAGTTACCGCAAATAGCACTGCACCAAGCCTGGAGCCAACGTCAACCACTACCTTTCCTGTCAGGTCAGGCAGTACATGTTGATAAAGAAACTTCAGTTCCATGAGGGAAAAGGAATGCGAAATAAACTCTGGGAAATAAGAACAGAACAAAAGTGTTGGGTGGGCAGTACTAACTACTGTGTTATTAACCAATGCAATAATAACCTGGGGAGTTATCATCACTGAAAACCTGCATGGTTTCCTGTCTGAACTAGTGCTGAGGACCCTTGAACACCAGGGTTTGCAGATCACAGATAGCCTGTCAAGTAATCTGTCCCAAGTCTGGGGATTCCTTGCCTTATATGGAAAATTTTGAAATCCTTCATGAAACTGAATTACCTTTTTCTGCAAGTGACATATATTAAAGAATACAAAACAAATTAACTTGGAAATGCTTAACTGAAAAAGGAAACATGGTACCTAAGGCACAACACAATTCATGCAAAATTTTTTATGAGCATACTAATAGCTTTAAATTTCAGCTCCAAGGTTTTAAGGAACAGAAGGTTCTTCATATAAACCATTCCTTCAATGCCTGTGCTATACTGGCAACAGCACTGATCTGTACCACACCACATACAAGCTTTAAGACAGATGGTGCTTTCTCCTGTTTTTCAGCACGCGAGGCTGAGGTTACAGCATGGACTCCTACAGTATTGTCTTCCTCTCGCATCTTCCTTTCCAGTGGTACATAGCCCTGCCTCTTACATGTGCAGCTTTTGTGGGCAACCAGCTCACTCACACACTCCAAATTAATTCCACTTACGTGTGCAGGAGTCTCCTTCCACTGGTTACGGGAAGTAATTCTGGCCTCTGTACTGCACCAGTCTGGACAAAGCCCTCCATCAGCCGGATGTTGTGTTGTCCAGCTGACTCACTGCACAAACCAGTTTAGTTAAACTGAACTTGTTTCTCATGTTCCCAAAAGAGCACTTACCTAAAGATGCAGTTTTGTATGAGCCACACTCTGTGCAGTAGCTCCTACTCATTTTCCCTTCCTCACACAATGAATCAACAACATCATCATCATAAAGGAATGCATCAACATGAATCATGGGCAGTGGATGCTGGTGTATCTGAGAAGAAGAACACAATCTTAGAAAGGCATAATCAAGTCTCTTAATTTCACTTACACTGTCACATGGTTTAACTGCCCCACCATCCTACCCTTCCTAAAATCCCCAAGATCCATGTTTTCCCCTATGCAAAAGTTACAAATCAAAATTAAAGAAATCCTGCCTGTAAACGGGATCATCAAATTCCACGGAAATAACCAGGAAGTGGAATTCAACAGAGGAAAGCAAGCTGGTTTTGACAGCTGAGTAGGGGACCTGATGTGAGTTTTGTTTCCTTAGTGCTTACTTGGCTACAGAGGAGGTACAGAGTAAAGGAAGCTTTTTCTCTTCCTCTTTAATGAGGAGAATATAACTTAAATTTAGGAAAAAGGGCAACTTTGCTTCTCAGCCTCAACTGACTATTCTCATCTTCATGCCTTATGCCTCAATCTAGAAACATTACTGATTAACATGGGTGTCACTTTCAATCAAAAGTATACCAGTTGGGATGCTTGCCTTCTCATCACTTCAAGGGGTATAATCTTCATCCTCTACTCCTCTTTCCTCCCTTTTCCAGGCTTGCTGTGTGTGGTCAATCCAGTTTTTCCACTGAAGAGCCACACATCACTTTTCTGGGAAATGCACTAACTTTCCTTGTGTTCTGACAGCTCAAGTAGAAAAGGTGCTCTTCCCTCCCACAGGACTCACAGCCCACCTCTTTCTGAGCCATGAGAATCTGAAAAGAGCTGGAAATTATCCTGGGCTGCCCACATTAAGGCAACAGTAAACACTGGCCCTGCATTTCTGTTTTCTTTAAGGAGACTGTTGGAGTTTATTATGGAGCTAGCATTAGAGAATCACTGTGACAGGTGCCATACCACACAGAATGAAAGCTATGCCAAATAAGTTATGATCAAAGTATTAAGAGCTATGAAGCAACTTTCTTGGAGTCAGGCAAACATGCAGAAACAGACCTGAGAACCAAACTGAGATTTCCTATTCCTCAGTCCAGTGCTCATTCTCTATTATTAACAACTACTAAAAATGAAATCAGAATAAATTATGTGATTCAGAAAAGCAAACTATAACAATGAGCTTACTTTCTGAACAGCTTGATGTTCTGAAGTAAACATTGCCTCGATGGGTAAACGATTCCGCAAATCTTCAGCAATATTTTTGAGCACAACATCATTGTTACTCACCACAAGCTCATCAAAGTCATCTATAAATCAAGACAAACAAAAACAGCTGCAAAATCATATGTAGATCATGTGGACTAAGTGATGACCAGTACAATACAGTTGCAAGGCATAAACAACACCAGATGGGCAAGGTTTTTTATTCTAATGCATTTTTCAGCCTTTGTTAGCTTTTCCAGCCAATGAGATTTTTGGATTGTAATAACTTTGCCACTTAAAATAAACTTAGTGCTTTTCTGATATCTCATATTATTTTCATATTTATAAACTCATAACTTACATATGATGGTCTGGGCTGCCACCAAAGTGATACTGTTTTGGCTTAAGATATAAAAACATCAAAGATGTTTTTGAACTATTGGAGAAATTATAAAACTCATAGTTGCCTGAATGCGGGCTTTTTTTTTTTTTTTTTAATATACAAGTTTCTTTTTATACATACGATCTTTCTAATAAAGTACTTAAAAAAAATCAGGGATAATGCAAGTTCAAAGTTCAACTCACAATACATTTTACATGACTTAAACTATCAAAATATTTCAAATGGGAAAGAATACAGGAGTGGATGTAAACCACTACATTTTTGCAAAGCCACATTGTAAATTTTTGCAATTTTTCTAGAATATCCCTGCATTACTTCAACAAAATCTTTTCAAGACATCTAGAAAAAAGATCAAGAAGGAAACCTTGTGAACTCACTAATCCTTTCTTCCTCCAAGGTTGAATTAATAATAAGTGTCACTGCTTCTGAAAACCATTCTTTAAAAAATTCTTGTTAATGCTGGAGACTCCACAACCCCCCTTAGCAATCCATTCTAGTGCTTGACTACCTTTACTATTAGAAAGGAATACTTTTCTTAATAACTGATCTAGATTTCCTCTGCCACTATTTAAACCCAGGACTCCCTGCACTACTAGCAATGAAAAAAGAAAAGTTTGTTCCTCTCCATTATATAGCAACTATTTACTTCTCTGAAGATGTATCATGTGTCACATCAGTCTTCTTTTCTAAGAAGAAACAAGATTCACCTATCCAGACCTTTCCTGCATTTTTTTCTAGGAGTGTGATCATTCTCAACACTTGCCTTTGGATCTTCTGGACTCTCTCATCCTTTAGGACCTGCAGTATTGAGAACCAGACACTTCAGCTAAAGGTTTATTTGCAAGAACCAGACTTTTCACATCTTGCAGTCAATATCCTGCTTACACACTCCAGTTTTAAAGTTAAGAGTATGAAGTTCCTAACTGGCAGTCAGCACGAGATCTGCTGTACACCTGTACTCTGTTTCTTTTCTGTTACGTTTTCCTCAAAAGAAGGACTAGATAAAATTTCTTTCTGTCTGGACATCTCACTGCTCTGAGGATGCTGAACTGGTTCTAAACTAAGGCACATCTCAGGTCAAAACTGCATACCTATAAAAGAAACAAAAAACCACAACAAAAAGCAATCACAAATCTAATCCTGAAAAAATACACCAAACCCATCTATTAATTCTTGTCTAAGAACAGACATGTATGTCCTCTCTTTCCCACCCCTACTGGTTTGTTTCTTGTTCTACTTAGACTGCCATCATGTTGGGCAGTGAATGTGCTTTTTACATACACCTCCATCACTCACAATAAGAAAATCTGACTGCTTTTACATGTTTTAAAAAAAGATAATGTTTTCTAGCATTGCTGTTCCAGGGGGAAACACTAGTATAGAAAAGTTTGATGGCAAGCAGGTTCAGAATAAATCTAAAGGACATGCTACGAGTTTCCCTGTATTGATATATTTCATCTTTCCTGTGTATCACAGGAAATGCTAAAAATAGTAAAAAAATTTAAGGCTAGTATAGGAAAGAGAGACCAGCCAAGCTTTTAACTGTGAAATGCTTCTGAAATGCTTTTTGTTTAAGCACTGGAGTGAGAACAATATCATTAAAGAAACCCTCACTCATTGGTGTAAGACACTTTCTTAAGAGTGCAAATGTAAATGTTTTTTTCAACATGTCCCAAAATGAACTCCAACAAATAATCCTGAATCCCCCATAGTAAGCACCAGAAACTTTAAATTACCTGTATTCCCTTATATATATATATATTTGGTTTATATTTTCTTTAATGTACAGCAGTAACACTCCAAGGCCGTGATGGGCCATTACCATTGGCAGTTGTTACACAACAGGAAGACAATTCACTGTTCCAAAGCTCTCACAGCTAAGTCCTCCCGAATCTGACCTCCTAAACAGACAGAGACTTCACACTGAGGAAGGGATACAAACCAAACAGGTGCGATGCAGCACCCCCAGCTTGTCAGCATTTCACTTTGAAACCTCTAATGAGCACCCATCCTGTTAAACCCATGGTCATCCAACAACTCACAGATTTGTTATGAACATCCCAGAAGCAGTGAGTGATTTTTCTGATCAGCTCAGGGAAGATTTCTATGGATATGACAAAGCACAGAAAGTAAACCCAGATATCATGGGATGGGAAGGTGGCAAATCTAACCGTAGCTTAACTGGGACTATCAGCACCACAAGACCCCTCAGAGCGCAGAGGCGCCAGTTTTGCTGAGGTGGATAACATCTGAGGAAGCAAGAGCAGAAATTGTGCTACAGACAGAGCAAGAGAGCAGAAAGCTGATATTAGCAGCTGTACAGATCAGTGCCTGTGGGCAATAAGCCCCTACATCTGGTGCTTGCTTTAAAACAATACTATTACTATGCAAGAGAGCTCATCCAGCTGTTATACTGCCTGTTAAGAGTATCAAATTCACATATAGCATTTAATGAAATGCAGAAAGTGTTCCTAGACCACCAGGCCTGCCATATCACACTGGATGAATGCAGAACTTCAGCTCTCTTCCTCCCAGAGCTGGTGCGTCAATAAGATCTGCTCGCTCATGGTCTGTGTGACCTTTCCTGGTCAACATTAGTGGCAGACAGCTCCCCAGACTACTCAGTGTCCCAGCTCTACAGTAGAGAAATACTTTCAGTATTTCTGTAGAGGATACTTTCAGTGGGAGACAGGTAGCACATTCATCTTCCTCAAATCCAGAATACCCCTTCCCTGCCTTGACTTTGGTTTATACAATACCCGTCACAACACTGACCATCGTACATGGGGCCCTCTGAGCTCTTCCTATGAAACAAAGTATGACAAACCCAAGTTCTTGTATGCTCTTTATGACACAGGTCCTGGGGAAAATCTTACAACACGTATGCAGCTCAAAGGAGAAACTGTTGAAACACTGACACTGAAGAACAAATGACAAATGGAAATGCTCCTTTCCAACTTTTCAGTTAATACTGTAAAGCATAACAAGCAGGAACAAAAAAGGAGAAGGAGGTCTGAACACACTCCTTCTGAGACGACACAATGGCAGCTGCAGCAGAAGCTGCATATGCAACACTCCACACTTGCATGCAGTCTATGAGCGAACTCTGATGCAGAGAGTTGCCTTGTTCCTGTCAAAGCAAGAAACAGCAACAGCTACCACAATAACTCATTTACTTTCGCAGTATGTAAATATTTGTAGATTGCCATCAAGTAAGAAAAATGGGTGCCAAATATGAAAATTCGCATCTCTGCCTCTGCTGCTACAGTTTTATCAACTCCACCCTTGTGCTTAACAAATTGTTCACTCTTGAGAATCTCAGTAGCACCTTACAAAGAGTCTTCAAAGAAGAAACAAAAATAGAAAACTATTTTTGATATAATTTTAGTGCCTGTTATAGATACGAAATGGAGATTCTGCAAGCCAATCCCTGTTCATTGAACAGACAACTAACCAGGAAACGAACAGTTCATGAAACACTACAGGATGAATCACAATCATTTGTTTATGGAGGAAGTCTGAGTGCGTAGTGTTTGTATTTTACTTCAAAAACCGGTTCCACTGGATCTATTCAACATGCATTTATAAAATTTAATTAGCACATTGCAAAAAGCCTCATTAACACCCTGATCCTACTCAGCCTTTCTACACAAGCTAAGAGAACATCACAAAGCCTTACACCAGATATAGCACCGCTATATCAACGTCTGAACATCCTGGCACTGCAAAATACATGATTGAAGACAAGTATGATTTCCAAATGACAACAGAAGATTACATGTCATAAGGAAAGAAGAGGATTTAGCAAAGGCAACCATAACAGCAAGCACCTTATGGTCTTCTAGATACATCCTCAGACTCACTGAAGTAAAAAGCAAATATTAACATCCATGTAACTTAATACGAGTTTAATTTAATAATTCAGTGTGTTTTAATAATACTGAACAAGTCAGGGAGGAAGTATCACATCTCTAAAGCTTCACTATCACCTTTTTTGGCTAAACAATTTGAGAAGCAAAATGTGACCTCAGTATACCAAGTACTTCAGGAACTCTAAATACTATTTCTAACCCTACGCATACTCAGCTATCGGTAGAAAGTAATTGTTTTTTTCAATAGAAATAGAACCAGAACTTATTTTATTAGTTCTCTGAGTCTTTTACATTGATTATTTGAAAGAAGCTTTAAAGTTAAATTTTAAACAAGGTAAGTCACAAACCTACTTTATAATCTCTAGTTTTCCCCACCACTATTAAGTTTCAGTGACTAACAACTTAGAAGTACTTGGTATTCTTGAGACCTCTCTCACATCAGTATCATTTGTCACAACAAAACAAATTAATGCCTATTCCCAAAGTTGATGATTCACGGGTAACATCCCATTTTACTTTATCAAAAAGAATAGTGGAATAATGTGACAACGCAATGTTATTTTTATCTCTTCTGAAAGGATATTTTACTTGGATAAATCACTTCTGCCAATTTGGATATGAAGCTCTGTACTAAATTGCTTTTTGACAGGCATACACACAAAAAAATAAATACTCGTCACATTGCAGAATCCCATGTTTTCATTCTTTTTAAATATACTCATTCCGCTTTAGTTTGTCTTGCAGTGACAATAGTAAGGAAATATTAAAAGAGTCAAGTTTTTTCTTATACTATTTTCGCTTTTCGTCTTGTGAAAATGTCATCTGATAACTTTACCTAGCTGGTCTGAGAACATGCTAATGCCTAGATAATAAAGTACATAATAGAAAATGATGTACAAACTCGGTCTGTTCCTAAAAGTATGATGGGAAGTTTCTTCTCTGAATGCAGAACACTACTAAAGCAGCACATCCTCCATAGTCCAGTTAGGTTAATTTTCTCAGATACTTCTCCCTCATTGCCTGTTAAAAGCCTGAACTTAAAGCACTGACTGCCCTCAACTTTCAAGTCACAAGACTAAATTGTATGCCAGCCCCTTGGTTGCTGTACTGGTTTGCTCCCAGTACAAGCTAATCCACAAGAAAAAAAACACGATTTGTACTTAATTATATGCTGTTTCTCCTTAACTTAAATTTGCAATAATTTATTATTCAATTATTATTTTGAGTAATACTTTTGATATTGAATATTTTGAGTACTGTATGAAAAATCAGCAATTCAGACCAGTACATCACTTTAAAATCTTGCCTTTATATTTAGAAGTTTCTAACGAAATGCATAGATTGGAAAAAGTTTGTAAGATTGTTTTATGACACTGTTACATGACCGCAAAAAAAAAAAAAAAAAGTCAAAAGTTAGCATTAGAACAGTCAGTTTAAATCCTGCTGAGAAAATATTTCTTTATCTATTTTATATCCTACAACAGAACACAAAAAGCATACAGGATCTTATCACCTTATCTATGCTTCACTGACATTTGTAACTTTGTAGCAGACAGGCCTTTTTAATCTGCATTAAGGTGCTAAGTACAGCAAAAGCGTTCAGTAGTTGCCAATAAACAGAATGGTTGGGTGACTTCAATCTCAAAACTGAAATTCGGATTCCTGCATTTACTTTCTCTGACTCCCTTTTCTCAGTTCATGTATACAGACGGCTTAATCAATCCTGCTTTCACTGGTTTTCTCCTCCAGCACGCATTTGTGTGAAATGCAACCTCTTCTGCTACTGAAAATTTTTTAAAATTTGGGCAGTGGAGGCGTGAGTGGGAATATGACCATTCCCAAATTCTTACAGAACCTATATATCAAATGCTAGGACCTTACTGAGGGGGATCTTCAGGGGGGTTTCCCCAAGTGGTTTGAATTAGCTCTTGGGCTTCACCCAGGTTTTCTTAGCCAGGACTTCTGGAACATGGTTATTGCAGAAGGATATTAAGGCATTAATCATCCTATTATAATAAAGTTAAGACACCAAAGGTTCCTGTTCTTCTTTCCAACTCTTATTATTTCATTTTCTTTGAGATCTAAGACTAAGTCAAAAGAAAAGCTGGAACACAAGTCACCGTGAAATGACGTACATTTCACTGCAGCATGTGGGAAGAGCTGGCTGATTGTGAAACAGCAAAGCAGTGTTGCTAAGCAGCTGCTTTGAAACAGTCTTCTTCCATCACATATAAAGATTTGGAGTTTCTAAAATTCACAATAATTCAAAAGAGGAAAAAAAAACAAGAAACAGCATGACTGGTTATTTTGTATTCATACAAAAAAAAAAAAAATAGAATCTTGCAAACACATTCCTGTAATTATTAAGGAAAGTTAGTTAGAAATTACTGGGGTGAGAACGTGTTCAACATTCTCTCCATTCAAAATACGTAAGAGTCTATACTTTAGATAAGATAACTCTATTATTAAGGAATTTGTCTTTTCCATGGAAAACTTTCTCAATAACATTCCATGCATTCAGCATGCGAGTCAGAAAACACTAACCAAGTTAAAGGTCTACAAAGATGGTTAAGAGACTGGAGCATCTCTCTTATGAGGAACACTAACCAAGTGAAAGTGATAAATAAGGCTGTCTTTGCCACAACACTAATCCTAAAGGGCAACCACTTTATGCAGAGCTTAACTCTATGGATGCATGTACACTTTAATTGAGAGAGAGGCGTGAGGGAGGAAGAAGAGCCTGACTACAGCTAACACTGGAATCATGCCCAGTCCTCCTCAGTAGAGGTAAAACTCTAAGATCAACATTGTGACAGAAACAGGAACAGGATGCAGCAGAGGAAGGGGGAGGACCCTTTTACCACAGTAAAACTATTCGTCTGTGGAGATACCATTTTTGTTTACATTTATCCTACAATTTTCCATTCAGAATATTATCTCCCCATCCCTATAACCTTTTTTCTTTTGTTCATCAGAGGTTTGTTTCTTTCCTGTATCTGTATTGCCAAAGGCTAGGCTTTTATTTCTGTGTGGCACAGAGACCTAGTAACATTTTAACATCCCCCATGAAACAAGTTTTCTCCCTGCACAGCAAGAACACCATATTCCTAGCTGTATTCAAGCTGCAGCAGCAAAAACGTCTATTGGCTCCTCACTATCCTCAGTCCAACCAGTATTAATTATCACAGCACTATCCAGGCATTATAGTGGGCAGTATAATTATTCAAATGCAACAGTTCTGAGGAGGGGGAAAACACCCCACAGTAAAAGTTACTGTCAAGGATGCAGCCAAAGAAGCAGCTCAGAGAAACAATACAAAAAGAAGCATCATCGAACTATTGAAATGTATTCATTGACAAAGGATTTTGGAAGGTCTACATAAACTCTGCCATTGGCTAAAAATTTTCCTGTGAGGAAAAGCAACATAACAGAATCTAAGCAGAGAAAATAATAAGTACTAGATCCCTACCTGAAACAGTTCAGCATTTTCAAGTCTCAGTAGTAAGTTCCCATGTGCTTTACTGTATTTGTAAAGGAGTCAGAAGATGAGAAAGCCGTATGTGCACACCACCCAAACTAATAACAGTTTATAGGAGCTGTGATGATTTTTGTTAAGTGAAGAAGCAATATGAACAATTGAATATGAAATCCCTTGAGATTTTTATACTGGAGCATATTGAATCTCTAACAAGATTATTTACAGTAAACCAAGCACTGTTTAGCAAGCAAAGCATGCCATTGCATTCAGACAAGGGATCAAAGATGGAGGGATGAAGTACTGCTAACACCAGATTGCTCTAGCATTGTGTCTACACACATAGACATACCTATGTATATATAGATATAGGTGTGTGCACATCCATACACACAGAAAATAACACTGTTTATTTACAAATAACAGTAACTACTTCCTTCAAAATTAAGCCTTCAAGTCTTAGGGAGTCCTATCCCTGCTCTAGTCTTGAAGGCTCACTCACAGACACACAGAAACATCTGGCAATGGCTTTGTTAGGAAAGAACCCCACTGGGTGGGAGGGCAGTGTGCCCATCACGGACGGTAAAAATCCCAACGGATTCCCTTTCTGTAAATCCAGCAGAGGGCCCACTCCGCCTGGAAAGATCTTTCCTTCCTCTCTATGTGAGTGACCGCGGGAGCCGCAAACCACGAGGCAACAGTGAGTTTGCAGTTCCAAGTACCTGGACAATTTCTTGGTGTCACAGCTGGCCTTTGTACCACGGTGCCCACCCGTTTCCTTATGAAGGTGTTTCCTCCTAAAGTGGAAGTCCTGGAGCAAAAGACCTGAACAGGGAGCATAACCCTAGCGCGGCAGGGCATGACTTAGGGAAGTAATGTATCATGGAATGAATTTTTCCAACACATGATCATCAGGATTAACTTTCCCAGCAGGCAATCACTAATAAACAGGACACACACATACTGGATGCTGGAGACTCGATTAAAGGACCGGAGGGGCCTTTGATATTCCTATCTGCAGTGACAAAATGCACCTATACCATGAGACTAAGCAGCATTTAGTCAATTTATTCAGCACGGTGCTTTGTGCCTATATCTTTAGTGTGCTGCCTAAACTGAAGTTTTCCGTGTCATTCTTTGGTTCAGCAGTAGTTTAACAGCTTGTGCACTGACCCACATTTCCCTTCTTCTTCTGCCACAGGATGCCTGATTGCAGCACGTTGGTGAAATTATACCAAGGCACAAACGACAGAGTTACCAGAAAGCTGTGTTAATTTGGGATGACAGCAAGTGGGGAAAGCAGTGTTTGTAAATGAGGTCAAACCGCTACTTCCAAGCCTGTGAAAGGCTGCCGTGAACACGTATGGAGCTGAACAAGCCCAGGCCTGTAGGTGCGGCAGGAGCAGGGTGGCTCCGCACGGCCCGTAACGCCGCGGGGACCGGGGGTCAGTCCGGGCCCGCCCCGCATCGCTCGGCCCCCGGGACCGCTCGGCACGGACCGGAGGGTGCGACCGCGGGCCACAGACTGCCGGGCCTGCTCGAGCGTCGCGGCCCGGCCGGTGCCCGCCGGTGTTCCGCGCGTCCCGGCAGGGCCGGTCCCGGTGCCCCGGCCCGGGGCGCTCCGCCCGCTCCGCCCGCCCCGCCCGGCGCTTACGGGAGTGGCGCATCCAGCGCAGCAGGCGGGGCAGGTCGGACGCGCGCGTGCCCCGCACGGCCGCGAGCACGGCGCGCCGCGCAGCCCCCAGCTCCATGGCCGCGGGGGGGGGGGGGGGGGGGGGGGGGGGAGGGGGCCAAGCACCGCCACTGCGCACGCGCAAGGGCCACACTGCCCGTATAGGTCTTCGCGCATGCTCGGTTTGGCCCGTAGGGCTGCCCCCCACGCGTGCGCCGTGCCCAGCCACTCCCCCCTATCCCCCCTTAAGGCGGCTCCCGGGGGGGCCCGTGGGGCACGGTAGGGACGTTGTCGCGGGGCTACTTTAAAGGGCCCCGGGTGGCGCGCGCCCCGGAAGCGGAAGCGCGCGGGGCCCGCGGGGAGAGGCCAGTGCTGACGTTTCCCTGCCGGCGGCGGCTCCAGCGGCGTCTCGCGGGGGGTCTCGCCCCGGTGGCAGCGCAGGCCGGGCTGGGACGGGCCGGGCCGGGCTGGGCTGGGCGCGGCTCCGCCCGCGGGTCCCGCGCGGCGCGCACGGTGAGAGCTCGCGGCTGCCGCGTCAGCGGGGCCCGACGGGCGGTGGTGTCTCGGGGCTCGGCGGGGACGGAAGGTGGGCACTGGGCCCTCCCGGCCCCGGGACGGGACGGGACGGGCGGCAGCACGGGCCAGGAAGGGCCCTCGGCCCTCCGGAGCCCGATGGGAGCAGTTCTGGGCCTCCCGGGCCAGTTCCCGCTGTCCGAGTTTCTGGAACGGGGCTCGGGCGCTGTTTGCGGCCAGCCCGGGGTGCCTGAGGAGGAGGCAGCGGTCGGGCACGTATCCAAGGCTGTACCTTCGCCTCTCCCTCCTTTTCAGTGAAAACGAGGGCGTTGGGCCTTAAGCGAGACAGGCGGTCCCCGCTGCCGCCCTGGGGGCGCCTTCCCGTCCTTTGCCGGGTAACTTCTGGAGGTGGAAACTCGTAAGCTGAGGTCGAGTAACGCTGCAGCAGCTCCAGCCGTCCCCACCTGTGAAACAGCTGCTGCTCCGTTACAGTGTTTGATTTGTGATTAGTTTAGTTTAATGCCTCTACGTGTACCTTTAGCGTAACTTTATTCTACAGACTTTAACTAAGTTTCCCTTATGCTTGTTATCTCTTAAACAGCTGTTTAAACAACTCTTATCCTTCAGAGCTTTTCCCTTTTTAAAATCATTTATCTAAAAGAGTACTGCTAGATCAGCTAGGCAGATTTATTTAGGTTTATGCTGGGGGGCAGTCTGTCCCTTCAGACATTGTTGGTTTCCTTAGATCTAATGAACAGTGGGGAGGTGCCCAGGTGGCCCAGACTGTGCAGAGCTGAGCTCAGCAGAGACCTGCTCGCCGCAGCCCAGCGAGTCTCCTGGGGGCTCTGCCGGGTTTAACCCCCCGCTCAGGGTGTTTGTGGGGTGCTGCATTAGAGGCAGCTCTTCAGAACTACACATGCCCAGCACATCCGTGGTCTGCAGTGCAGTCACTGCCAATGCCCTCCTGGCTCCCTGCCCACCCAAGCAATTGTCTGGAGTGTGGCTCTCGACTGGGATGGACTGTGTGTGACAAGCTCTATTACTTTCTGTACTTGGCACTCCTTAGTAATTTTGGTGGCTTGTGATTTCTTAATGTGTTAGCAAGAGCAGCTGATATGAAAATGCTTAAACTCATCTCTTTAGCAAAGTATATTTCTGTTATTCCTGTTATAAGGCTGTTGGAAGAAGCTTTTGGAATTCTGCAGAGGAAACATTTGTATACTAGGACATAATTAACTTTCTGTATTTAGAGAATAGAACTCTGGAAACTAATTTTAAATACTGAGCAGTCACTTGGCCTCTGTACGTTGGTCATTCTATCAAATTTCTTAGCTGTGATATCCAAGTATTGTGGTTAAGTTTTGTCTGTAGCTGCAGTTTTAGCAGCTCAAAGCTTACCAAGTTGCAATGCTATTTTTAAAGGGGTTTATTTTTGCATTATTGTGATTCTCATAGGAAATGAGCTTGAAAAGTGTTTTGAACATCTGTTTTGCTGAGACCCTTTTGTGCATCATATTGATGATAACGGTTCTTTAGAATTATGGTGCTGTAATGTGAGTTGTATGCCTTGTAAGGAGGAAACTTTGTAGTTTTACCAGTTCAGATAACATGCAGAAATCGCCTTTCAGCAGTGTAAGAAGGTGGACATTCATACCTGTTAATGTACTGATCTTCAAATAATCTACGGGCAGAGTTCCTTAGGAAGCACAGACTAATTTTTCAATGAATATTGAGATGGCATGGTAATGGATATCACTTTGGAATTGCCTGTACATACAATGTACAATAAATCTAAATGTTTAAATATATTTATTTGCATTATTTGCTATACCCAAGTCCTGTACTTATATTGGATTTATTTATCCTACATCTTTTCATGCTCCTGGAGACTTTGTTCTGCACTGTAACCTCAGTATCGGGGTGGGAGAGGTTAGACTGGCAGTTGGTTTTAGGGTTTTGGTGTTGGTTTAACCTGCCAACTTTGTAACAATAGTAACTCTCAATTAGTCACAGCAGTCAGGCCGTCGGCTTACATGGGTGACTTGTTTTAGCTCTTTTGGAATATATCTGGGGGGTTATACAGGAGGTGGAGTGGTTTAACATGTTTAATATTCAGACCCTTCGGAAGTTAACTTTTTATGGTTTCTTAAGCGTAAGTTGTGGTATGCTTATATGTGAGATTTGTGTCTATAGTGAAGAAAAACAATCCGTTTTTCCAATAAATCCATTAAAAACTACAGTGTGAATTTTGCTTAATAAAGTGCAAGTACGTTTGTAGGGTTACTAAAATGGAAAATTCAGTTTGATTAATTTTGGAAGCTAGATAAAATGCAACTAGTAAATAATGTTCAATTTTGGTAGCAAAATGTCTTGCTTCTAGTTGTACTGCCTTTGCAGGATGCAGAGTTTCTAAGCTATCTTGCTTGATTTTATTCTGTCATGTAGCATATTGCTAACAAGAAGATAAAAAGCAGGTAGTCTTCTTTCTGGAAGTGTGTCTGAACTGTTTTTTCTTGGTGAATTCAGTGCACTTATTCTACATGGTGAAATGCTTCCTAATTGAAGTGTGGTATCTCTGTTTTTAAGTAGGCCATCAGGATAGCTTAAAATTAGCTCCAGGCCAGTATTTCCTAAAAATAACTAAAAAAGTAAAACTTTTGTACTTTCTGGAATGCGAAGCAGGATTCTTCACTTGAAAGTTGCTGGAATAATTAATTAGCGACAGCATAACTTCAGCTAGCTTTAAACTTAAATTTTTTTTTTAAATTGTTTTCCAGATTCTTCTGAGTTGTACTTGAAGCCGCCAAAATGGTTCTCGCAGATCTTGGAAGAAAAATAACTTCAGCATTGCGCTCCCTGAGCAATGCTACGATTATCAATGAGGAGGTAAGTAGCGTGCAAGTGTGATGGCACTAACACTTGAAAAGTTCTGAGAAAAGGTTCTCATAGGCTGATGAAAAGCTTGAAGTAGGTTGATGTTATCTGGAAGCTCTTTTCTTTTTTTCAAGTAAAATTTCTACTGGAGGTTTTAATGCCCTGAGAGTACTTAAAACTAGATTTATACATGGATAATCACCTCAGACGTAGTGGGTCCTGTAGTCAAAGGGTCCTTGAATGTGGTGGCTGTACTTAGGGAGATTAATGTTCTGTGGAGGTAATGCCAGAGGAGGCATATACTAAAGTTTGGGTGGAAGGTCGGTACCTGCTGAGTTATGGTTGTATGTGTAGCCAGACTATGCAGATGTGAACTAGGCTGATGGAAGCTGAAGTGTGGAAGAACAAACAGCTTTCAATGTAAGCTTTGCTGTCTGAAATGTGAGGAGTATGTTGTTTGCTGCCTTTATATTCAAGCCAATGTGTGGTTCTGGACGTTTGTTTCACTTGGTATAGTCTGTATTTTTTCTAATTAAGAGTTTGAAATTATAGCTAGGTATGTTCTGTTATGGGACTGAAAAGCAAGATGGCAAACTAACTAATGTCATGGTTTAAATGTGCCTCTGAGTAAATAATTTGTTAAAAACTGTTTTCAGGTGGACAAACAGGTGGCTTTAAGTAACTGGAAAGTAGGCTGATTGAGAGCTATAGGGTTGGAACTTGTGCACAGAGGAAAGGTTTTACCATATTGGCAGCTGGGAGACAACAAATCCTTAACTGAATCAAACACAGCCCAGTATACAGCAGTAGAAACTTTTATCCTCCAAGAGCTCAAGATGTGCAAGTGAGGCCATTTGCAAAAAATTTTTCGGTTCAAGACTTTCCACTTTGAAAAATCTTTCAACTAATAAACTTGGGTCCTAACTGAGGCATCTGCTTGCCTACAAGAAATACAACCAGAGCAGCAGTTCAGTTTCTGAAAATGCAGATAGTAGGGTATCCATCTTGCAGTTCAGGAATACCTGTATTTACAGAGATGGTGGTGTGATACGAGAATTTTTGGTGTACTCTTTGAGTACCTATAGGGAAGTTTAAGAAATGTTGCTACCATATGAGCTGCTGTTGGCCTTAAAGCAATAGGAAGTGTTCTGTTGTTAGTATGTTATATATAGTGTGCAGTTGTTACAATTGAGAATCCTTCCATTATTACTTTTCAGATTTAAATTGTATTTATGTAGGAACAAATGCATAGTTTTTTTTGGTGGTGGTCAATCCTGTGTATTGTAAAACAATTTTTCTTTTATACTCCAAAGGTTTTAAATGCTATGTTAAAAGAAGTATGTACAGCATTACTGGAAGCTGATGTTAATATCAAACTTGTGAAGCAACTTAGAGAAAATGTCAAGTAAGTGAAATAATCAGAATGCATATAACTTCTGATGTTTGTAAAAGTTGTAATTTGAGGTCACAGAAGAATAACTAATTTATAACTTTATATGTTTTAGACACACCCTTTAACAGAAAAATGCTGTTTGCACTAAATGTTTAGCCAGTTTCATCAAAAGGATTTTCATCAAGTTTAGCCATTTATTGCTGTTACAGGCTTTTTTCAAAAAACTGTTGCTGTCATCAGCTGAGTTCTCTGATAAACAAGTTCTTCATTACTTCCTAGACACCTCATCTTCACATGTT